CCGACCTTGCCTTCTGCGAAAGATGTTCCAAACTTGCTGGAGAGCTTGCCGTTTGCGAAACGGGTGAGGGAAGTGTAGAGGCTGCGATCGCCTCAGGACTTGGGCGATTTCCGAGACAGGACGTCTCGCTCCCTTTGCGGTGCCAGTCGTGCAGCTGGCACATTGCTGAACACGTTCAGCAGGGGGCGCCCCCTTACGGACATACCTTGCACGCCTGCAACGCAGATGCCAACGAACAGGAGGACCGCTCAGTGTAACATTCGGCGCTTGTCTCTCGGCCAACGATGAGCGGCTTGGTCATCGAATTCCGCATGCAGCGCACGCCCCACCCATCGCAATTGTCGGATCAGGCAGAGCTGCGAGCAGCTTCGATGGACGGACTGCATATGCACGCACGGACAGCACATGGGCGCGGCCCTCCCACCTCTGTCTCGGACGGATGCACTAGGAAAAAAAGGGCCAAATAACACTTTTGCGAACACACGTAAAACACATTTCATTAAAGTTCTGCACGCTAAGAACACAAAAGTAACACAAACCCGTAAACTTTGTACACGTTTGAACACGTGTTATTTTGCCCTTTTTTTCCTAGTGATGGTCGCTCACAGGCGCGGCCGTTTGTCGCGCTCACGACCGTCGCTGGCACTGAGGCCGCCTCTATATCAGATTGCGACACTCCTGGTTCCCACAGCGTCTGTGAGGTCAGAACGCAGATCGGTATGGTGCGTCAAAGCATCTAATGCGATCTGTTTCAATGACTGCGGGAGCTGCCCAATATCTCCATGCAAGCTGCTCGCGTCTTCTGCAATGTAATGGCCCACTCTATTTTCGTTCGTGCGCGCGGTTTTGCCGCCTGGGGATAACTTCCGTGTTTGACATCGAGCTGTAGCTCTTGAGGAAGATGAGGTCTCCTGTGCCCTCTGCGGACGTGGCCCAATGTTGGATAAGATGTTCTCGGAAACAGCATGAATTTCACACCATATGTCGTGTGTCGTGGAATGCGTCGCAATTATTACTACCACCTTGGCGTGATGGCCGTGCAAGTCAGTATGCCAGTGTTCCATTTCATTTTAGAATGCCCAGTACTGGGCCCACTAGTGCCTTCCAATGGCAATATGATTTTGATCCCTCTGGACTACCACCTACCTTTGCAGGATGCAAAGATCGCAACCTGCATGGTCCCAATGCTCCCCGCGTTCCCGTCCAAAGAAATGATGATCATATCTTTCTACATCTCCCATATTTTCAAGAGCGTTTAGAATGTGTTCTGTGATATTTCTTCTACTGCTGTCTGGGTAAACAATCTGTTGTCAAATTTTCCGAGGCCGCATTAAAAAAAATGCCAGTATCACCCCCAGCTCTGAGCTGTGTTGCTAAATCCGCAGTGCAAAGCCACCCCAGATGCAAAATGTACATATAGCTGCCTGCAGGCTCACAGTAGCAGCTGCTACTGCTGGTCAGCGTGCAGGTTCACTGTGAGCAGGTGTGGCAAAGTGGCCCATTTTCACATCATATTTTTGTGGACAAGATTTATATCTTATGAAAGTTACTGCGGTGCGCACAAGCGGCGGCGAAGATTCCCTTGAATTTATTCAATTGGACTTGCTATGTGATGGTGAACGGGCCCTTGCCCAGCACAAATTGTAGGCTGTGGACGATTGTTACAGTATGTATAAGATGAAATTTGCGAATGGAACTGAAATGCGGTAATCGCAGCATGAGCACCTGCTCTGCACATTTCACTTGTGGAGTACTTCTGAGGTGCACAAATAATACCGCTGAAATACGCAATAGAGTTGCGCTTTCCGTCGTCTTCTGACTAACTCATTGAATTGCATGCCCATGAAGACAGTACAGAGACTTATGCGGCACCTCTTTCTGCACCGTAGGGGCATCTACGCGGTCAGGAGATTCTTGACAGTAGCTGCTTGAAGAAAGACGATCGATGGTGGTGGATGTGTTCCTGTGTTGCTCTTTCTATCGTGGTGTGCAATGCGCGAGCCTCAGCTCAAAAGGCACATTCCGTATTAAAACAGGTTCGTACAGAAATTGCCCCACTCCACTGTGCGCTAAGCATGGAAAATTTGCATCCCATCCTCCCTGTCCTTTACTCATTCGCTACTAGAATATTATTGTTCGACAGCATTAATGAGTCTGTTTATCACCAGCACCAAATACAGCACGCCCATGTCACATGCATTGATTCATGGAATTCTCGGCGAGGCTTCGTGTGAAAAAAGCTCCGTGTAATGCGCCAGTTTTTTGGTGCTCGTGGCAATTTTTCCACTGTCTTTGAAAGACAGTGTTATTAGAATGTTCTGTAGCAGACAAGCATCTGCTGCGTAGATTGTAACCCACCATTGGTGTCTGAGCCTTAATGACTGCCATTTCACTTTCCCCGCGAGCTAGGGCGCCTCCGTGCATCATCGGCCTCGCAAGGAAAATGGAACACTCAGTCAACGACATCAGCGTATTTGCATCTGTCTTTGCGTTGTTGTGAGCAGCTCTTTCGACACTGGTGCCGAAGCCCGGCGTCAGGCGATGGCAAAGACACACATCAAGACCCTTCAAAAGAAGCTGACCTCGGGAGCGGCCTCCAAGAGCTCGAGACCCCAAAAGTCGAGAAGCTGACCGTCGCAATCTGGTCTGTTGGAAGTGTTCAGGGCAGGAAGGCTGTTTTCGAGGACTACCTGTTGCAGGAAGCTGATGGCGCTTCGCTGGAGGTTCATCGAGGGAACGAAAGGCCTTGCGTCGCCATTTTGTTTCACGAAGTACCTACGCGCCTGACAGGAGATGTCCTGGGCGCACTTGAAAGGGCGAAAGGTATAGAGACGCCCTTAGTTTCTGCTGCCGATGAGATCGCAGCGGCAAGCTGATTCGCAACAGTTCCATGCCTAATAAGGCTTGATGTGGAGCCGTTCCCAGCATTGTTGCTTGAGCATCCCGTGTTGCAGGTCCCCTGAAATGTGTCCAAGCAGCAATTTTGCGAGCTGCAACACTTTTCAACACATGTTGAATACAATTGAGGAGGCCGCATCACGTTTTGGTGCTGTTTTCCGGGGGGCAAGTTTTGTTCATCACTGTCTCCACCACGCCAATCATACCCAGTATGGAGTGAGTCAAAACATGCATTCAGGTTTGTGTTGCGATGATCTCAGGCCTCTAGCCGCAGAATCAATGGTGGTCGTTCTCCTTGGTAATGAGCACCTCGCGCGGCTTCCACCCTTGCGTGCATAAATTCATGAACACGCCATTGCATCTTCTGCATTCAATTGAATTTTAAGAAACATTTGGTTTTAAACCAAGCAGTTGAATGCAGAGATACTGACGTTCTTGGCGATTACATCACGCTGGGCAAGCCACCCCTGGACACATATCGGCCATCGCGAATGGAAATTCGGGGTGACGTGATGTTTTTGACAATAAGAACTACGCCATCAGAGCAGATATCATCTCCGCAACTGTTCGAATTACCGGTAATTCACCACTGATCTGCCTCCGGTAATTACTGATTTGTAATCCGACGATAAAGTGGCGGCATATGATAATTTCATTTTAAGGAATCCCATCAACAATATCTTTGAGTAGCTGTCACCTTTTTCTCGATGTTTCACATGCAATTTTCCAGTTCTCATGACCGGAGGTCGGTGGCTGAACACTGATGTGCATGAAACTCAATGAGAGAAGTTAATACAGATTAAAGAACCGTTTAAGCAGATGAAGTCTGACACACCAAGACAGCCGCAGTTGCCGTTTTGTGCAAGCACCTGGACATGTGCTGTCTGACTGGTGCACACATTGACCTGTTTGAGATGGCGGGAGGACGGTTGGCCAACAATCAGATTCAATGTTACTAATTTGGTGATCGTGAGTTGGTACTATGAGTTGGAGCTGTGGGTCGATGCTATGGGCCGGTGCTGTGGGGTAGCGTGTTGTGCGTGTGTGAAGTGTGAGTTTAGCCTGCCGTTCTCAGTGTGAGTTCTGGTGGGCGAGAAAACATGCGCATTCTGGTATTTGAGAGATCTCTTAAGCTCTAGAGCCCGAGACTTGTTCGTGGCATCTCTTGGCTTGGCTGCTTGTCCGCCCATGCATGGCGAGTGCGTTTGAGCGCCGCGTGCACCAAAGTTGCCACAGACGTCGAGCCAAAACAGTTTGACTTGTGCTGCGTTGTGGCCCATCGCTGCGTGCATTCGATTGCGACGATGCGACGAGCGGGATCTTCAACCGGGATGGCCAAGGAACTTCGCCAGCAACTCTTTCGATGAGGATGGAATGTTGCGACTGACCCCGAGCGTCCTAAAGGAGCAGGCTCCTAGTTTCCATGGATCATTGCATGGAATATCTCATTTAGCACTCCGAGAACATCATAGAAAAATTCTGATATAGGCTCCGTTCTCGCCCCAAGGGTTCTGGCTCAGAATTTTGGACAATCGTGTGACCGCGCTTCCATTATCCGGACAAATGAAGATGGAGACGCAATCTCAACCCGTTGCCAAATTTCGACCCCATGCATATTGGCAGCTGCCCTGATTCTGCTTCCAACAGAGTGACACATAATAAGGAACGTAGCCAATCAAGCCACCCATGCGGTAACGATCTGAGCAGCAACGGTTACAGGAGGTACGGTAGAGTCATTATCTAAAGTACAACTCAGCGGCGAATCGAATATAACTTATGATAGCTTTGTAAGGAATAAACTCTCACCCGCCCACCTCACTCTCATACTGTCCAAAAGTTATAATTCTATCGGCGACCACAGCCGTTCCCCTTATATAAAAACACATCGTGGCAGTCTCTCCTCAAAATCAACCAAGCGCGCGGCATTCCGCAGGTAGGCATTTCCATTGAATGGCTTATTCATGGATTGACGGGTAATGGCAGCGCCTATTCACCGCGCAGAGTTCAATCGTTCTTCTGGTTCGCTTAGTGAATTCAAACACTTAGTGCAGTCATTTACGCCACGACGGACTTCATTGCCCTCAATCGCTCCCACTCAACCATCAAGCCTTCTTCGCCTTTGTCGCATGCAAGCCGGACGTGCTGTGCACGAAACAGCAGACAGCGATGGAAATCGCACCGTAGATCTGAACCCAGTACACATAAGGAGCTGCCAGGTAGTACCAGGCCGTTGCAGCAAGCAGCAGCAGTCTGTTGAAAGAATCATACTATCGTTAGACCTCAGTTTCAGGACATCGTATGCATGTGAATAAAAGACGTCACAGGATGATTTTGACCGCCCCAACATCAAAAACACCGGGTTCTTAAAGAGTTTGCGCTAAAGGTAAACGGGCACGCCGCTGGAAAGCTCCTCCAGTGTTATATAAACAACATCATCAAAGCAGTCTGTTCCGTTCACTAGATTGTGCAGGTTATACAGATGCGTACATGGATATATCCGTACATGCGCATCAGCCATGGAAAAGGCCTTTTGGGCACACTAAAGACGAAATGTTGCAGTCTTGAATTGACATCCCAGTGCCAGAGAAAACATCTGTCCAGTGGAAGCATATCAGCACAACATATCCATAGAGACGTGCACCGAAACTGCCACAGAATATTTGTCATCAATGCAATTGCAAACAAGGCCCTCTGCGTGCCACGCCATCTTGGTGTTTGCAGTGTGCACGACTGTCGATTGTCTCCGTGAAACAACTGCATCGTTAGCCTGCTGCCAGTCTACATATGACTTGAACGGCCTGTTCTTTGGTTCGCGGTGATATTCAGGGATGGGACCTCAGATGGCAAGTCGCCGCGCAGGTGCAACGATTGCCTGATATTCAGCAAACAAAATGGACTCTTCCGATGGGGAATTAGCAATATAGGCAAAACTGGTAGTGAATTGCGATGTCTCCAGGACTCCCCTACTGCGTTAGACAGCACCAGACTACTCCTGACAAAAGCAGCCTCCCTGCACCTGGACTCCTCTTCACGTATACACAACTCGTGGGCATGAAACGCTTGGGCGCTCCTGCGTGTTCTTTGACTACACACCAAATCCGCGGTCCGATTATTCATGCGCTGCACTCACCTGGCGATTTCGTAATTCCTCCCTATCTTCGTGCCGTCGAGGAACATGCCGCACGTCGTGAACGCACCGCCAGTGTGCAAGACCGCAACAACCGTATCCACTGGTGTCCACCCGCCGCACATGCGCATGATGGCAAGGGTGGCCGGGCCCGCCAGCGCCAGGGACTGGATTGCGACGTAGACGTCCAGCAGGGACAAAGGTCTGGAATCGCAAGGGATGCCGTCCTTGGGGAGCTTGAAATGGGTGGTGTTCACTTTCGGATACTCTTTGCCTTATATCGAAAGCACAGAACAATGTCATGGTGCGTCTCGTTACCCAGCCCTCGTGCCCAAATGAGGCAGGCGGCGTTCAGCATCCCTAATCAATGCTTTCCATGGCACCCCAATGCTGGGTACAGCCGCGTCTCCCCCGAGTGCACAACCATGGCCATTTGTTGTGGCCCATGTATTTGCGACGTTTCTGAAACTTTTGCTATTCACCGAGGGGTGTCGGGTCATTCCACGGCGGGTGCGCACTCACCGTCTCTGCTAGTGAGAGCATCAACAACGTGGGGTTGCAGCATTCCCTCCCCGGTCGCCCTCGTGAAAAGGACCATGGGATTGCGAGTCTTGAAGAACATCTTGATTGTTGGAACCCAATGAAAGAGCTGCGCATGGCCGACACACGTGAGGCACTGTCAGTCAAACATAGCTCTTTATCATTGACGCAGACATGGGCAGCAATATGTGGCATTTTACTGCTCAGGAGTCATCTTTTTAGCGCAGCAGCAGGAGATCTTTTCCGAGCGCGAAATTTTCTTGACAAAGAGAGACAGAAAAGGTTCTCCTATAGTACAGCATTAATGGGTGTACTTGAGGTTTTGCTAGGGGCTGCTTCAATTGACAGAACATAACAATCACGGCCAGTACTTCAGTTTGGTGTGCTTGAGCCGCCCATCAACTTCAAATGCACAGCAGTCATCTGCAAAGGCGAAAGGCCGCAAGCCAAAAAAGACAAATGCGTGGCTCAGGAGCCATGGATCCGGCTCTCCTGTTGTATCAACACCTCTGGCTGCAGCACTTGGGATCCTTCTATCCATCTGAACGGAAGAGTCAAGGTGATTGATGCACATGGTATACACACATGCGAATCAAACAATTGTGCTGAGGAGCGTACTGTCTGCTGAGCACGATCGTCAATGCTGGCATCCTCTTCAGTGGTGCTCATGGTCGAAAATTGTGTTGACAAAGAGTTATCTTGCACAGCAAAAGATATAGTGCAAAATTTGCACCACATCCATGAGTCCCACAAATGTTAATTTTCACACCAGAGGTCGAGCTCACCTGCTGCCACATGGGGTTGTGGGTATCCAGAGGGACCTGGCGCTCGTCAAGACCATACAAGCACGGCTTGTCGTCTCGCTCTTCCTCGAATGTGCCAAACATCCTGTCCCAAATGATGAGCACGCCTGTGTGGGTTGCAGTAAATCATCACCACGATCGCGGATTCTGCCTTCCAGAAAGAATGAAAAGCCAGCCAAACTTATGCCAAAACCCATGTTCGATCCCAAAGCATGCAGAACAATATTGTGGTCCTTAAATGTCACATCTGCCTGAGGGATCTGTCCAAAGTCAGTCAGATATCTGCTCGCTCTGAACCGCTGAAGTCAACTTTATTCATAAGGTATGGGTAAACGCAACACGTCAACAAAGTCTTTCAATGACGGCGTGAAAAGTTGAGCACGTCAAGGCCAATGCTGTGCTGCAAGATCAAAACATTCCAAGAACCTGCCTCGTCATTTTGGTGAACAGTCGTAATGAATTTATTTGACTCTGAGGCAGACTGATCAGGCCGTTGTATCTGTCGCACCGCACAGCGCAGCTTCGATTATCTGGCACATTGCACAATGATTGAATGCATTTATTGTCATTTTATTTGGCACCGCATTCCAGAGATGCTGCTTGCCTCTTCCACGCAACACAGATGTAGAAAGTCAGTGCAATCACACAGCCCTTTTCGAATGTATTGCTGATAGTAGGTCGCCCACGATCTCAACTACTGTATTCACAAAACCCACCTGCGTAGTTGACTCTTCCGTAGTTTCTGGCATGGTGGACACGGTGGTGGGATGGGGTGTTCAAGACCCACTCCAAGGGTCCCAGCTTAGGAATAACTTGTGTGTGGAGGAAGAACTGGTACACAAGGTTTATGCTCCTGTGCCAAAAGAAAACATCAGGAGGAGAGACGAGTGCCACAGGAAGGTAGAACCAGCATGCGATCTGCAATTGAACACAACAACAAATTAAAATGGAAAACTTGTCAACTGACAGCAGCACACAGCTGCGAGGTGCTGTTGGCAGCAACAAAACAACTAAGAAGTGTACGCCTAAACGGGCTGAAATCTATTCAGCACACAATGGAATGAAAACCCTGCATTTCCTCTATCACTTACTAAATGTCGTCTGTTTGAAAGACAACATTCGTTACAAAAGCCCGTTAATATTACAAAAGAAAGTCGGGATCGGAAAGATTGGCTTGCAAACACCTAAAATACCAGTATTTTAAGAAGAAAAGCGGAACTCGACCTCTGTAAGTGTTGGGAGAAAGATAATGTTTTGCGCATTCTTGAGAAAAAAATCGAGGTTTAATAGGTAAGAGACCATTGCTACGAGCTGATGCCAAATCCGCAATTTCTCAGCAGATTCACTTGATTTTATTAACGCATACTTCAAACTCATAAACCATCTCTGCAGGATATTGAGTTAAAAATGAAATCTTCTAATGGAGAAACAATGCGCCAAAATCATATACGACATTTATCATACGGCAGGGGAAGTACAATTCATCATTAAGAAAAATTATTACTGCTGCAAGCAGCCACAACAGTTGTAAGTAATGTCAGTTTGAACAACGCACCTGCACCGAGTCCCTCGCACTCAAGCATGATAACTGTTGAAAAATGAATTACAAATATGAAAAGTGTAGACTAAGGTGTCGACTAGCAGCAAATAGAGATCCATCCTCTGTTGGTTGTCTCAATTGCTCAGTCGGTTTTGCTTACCCACAGGTATTTATGAACCTACGTCGGGGTACATTTCACCTGGCGATCTATCGAAGCCTGTCATACAAGATTTACTTGCCCCTGAGCATAAAAAACAGTCCGAAGCATAAACAACCAATCAATGTGAACGTTCCAAGTACACCGGTGCTATGTACATCTTCACATGTGAAGACAAAACTGGGCTACAGGTAAGAACATGGAAAAGTATGCATATTTGAAAACGGCACAACTCAAAGCAATCCATCAGCGTGGCAAACGACACTTGCGCCTGTTTGTTTGATAAAAATACGCAAACGAACTTTCAGAGCAGTGGCTCCCTTCCTTGTAGACTTACGAATGGCTCTGTGATTCCCTGTCGAAATGCAGTTGTGAAATTCATGTCCGGAGAGTTGTGGTGCACACTGTGGCCAGCCCTGTACACAACGGCAATCTGCAAGTTAGGATTTGGACTCATCGCCTAAAGCTTTTCATGAGAGCCGCCCATATTTTGTGTTGTGCGGGCGCCAAATCTGTTCAGACGGTGACCAGGAGTGCTTTCACAATTCCGTCCTGCTCGCTGGCGTATAGCACACTGCCAGGGATATCCGCATTTGTGGAGGCACTCCATTTGCGCAGAAAATAGCATCTGCTAGCGGCAGCCCCTGCACGCTTCTTCGAGGTCGTTTAACCACGCTCCTTGTCAACGTGGAAGCTACCTGTTGTGGGACAACGGTACTTGCGACTCAAATCTGGCCTGCACCCTTTGCATCCCTTTCACTGCGCAATGCTCATGGACAATGAATAAGCGATTCCGAACAAGCGCTCTGCTTGGTTTTCATGCCCATCATCGCCTATCAGGTGCATGGCTGTTTTTTGTACGGTAAATACAGTCGATGGATTTTGATGGTGATGACTGCACCATGCTGCACGCCCCACAAGGCTATGCATGCGTATGGATGTGGTCGCACCATCCAATGTTGGTGACATGTCCAGCCCTGTGGGCCCAGTAGTGAGTGAAATCGAAGCCAAGGAAGGCAAAGATGTTCACCCAGATGTTGTTGGACGTCGCTGGGCCGATCAACTTCAGGCCAATGAAGTGGTAGACCGCCAGGTAAGGAAACACGTTCAAGCCTCTGAGAAAGAGACCTGCATGCAGAGAGGCGAAGAAGCTGAGGCGGCGGGGCTCACCCACGCGGAACGAACGGCAGGGCTGTTTTGCAACGGTAGGCACTGCGCTGCCAGAGTTGCAAACAAAGTACTGGCTCTTTATCACCCTCGACAGCAGCAACGCGAATCAGAAATCCGACTCGGCCATTCCATTCGTGGCGATAATTGACCTGTTAATGCGCCACGGCGCCTGTCCATTCACGCTCACGGCAAAATCGAGGAGGAGAGCGTTCCCCTGCTGCCTCCATGACTCTCCCCTCGCCATCCTTACGCAACGATTTCGCCCTGTGGGCTGCGGATGCGCCCTCCCTCGCGCCGCGCGAAAGCTCGATCGACCATCTTCCAGCCAGCTCCACGAAACACAAAAACGCGGGGCGATTTCTCGCCAGGGGCTGAGACGCACTCCCAGCTCCCCAGGCGGACCCCCATGTGCCGGTCACCCCATCTCCGCCCGCGTCGCCACGTTTCCGATTCGGCTGAACACTAAAAGTTGACCGCAACCTCCCAGAGCGGAAGCGCCCCCCTCTCCTACCCCCCTCCCCCCCGCGGCTCTTCTGCGGTCCCTCGCTGGAATCCGTGCATGAACCGCTCGCCGAGTCGCAGCCGCGGGAGCGATACCCGCAAGCGTGGTTGGCCTGGCGCCCCGCCCCACCGTTTGTTGACTCACCCGAGAGCACGAAGCCTATGGCCCCCCCGGCGACGTTGCTCCACGTCTGCCTCCGGTAGTACACCTTCTTGTGCAGCAGCGCGGCGACGAAGAACTCTAGCACGGTGCAGGCCAGCATGAAGGGCAGCACCTTGCGGGTGACGTCGGGCAGACGCAGGTCGGGCGCGCCAGCGGCCTGAATCCACCGCTGGAGGCTGCCGGGTCTGAACTCAAAGTCGTGGAAGGCGGAAAACATGCTTGCCACTCAGGGGTGCGCCCTCAGCAATGCGCCGAGAGGCGGTTGTCGCGCGGTCGGAATGCACAAGGCGAAGGTATGCGCCCCTGCGCCTCTGCGCGTAGCGGTCAGCGGTTGGCATTGCCACCACCTCCGCGTCGAAATTTGACCTGAAGCGAGGCGCAACAATGCCTGTCCCATCGGCATCGCCCACGGCGCGTGGCCACGTGGGCTGGTCTGGCGGTGGCGCAGGTTGTCCCATCGGCATCATCGATGGGACACGGCCACGCACGTAATATATGGTACAGGACTGCGCCTGGGTGTGACTGGCGATCACGGGCACACCGGGGGCAAACAGGGACTCACGCGGCGTGAGTCACGCCCTCGGAATTGCGACAGGCGGCCTTGGACCTGACGGTTGAGTGTGCCGTTCAAACAGCTGGCTCACCGTCAGGTCCCAGGCCGCCTGTCACCGCTATGTCCACGTGTGGGAGCCCTCCCAGGTGCCCTCTCTGCCGTAGTGCAAAGAAGATGCCTTGGGTTGGGTGGATGCGAGTCCACCCCACTGGTGAAATGGCACCGAGACGATTCCACGATTGGTACCATTTCGGCAGAATTTGAACGCCGATGTTAACTGTGGTAAATGTGAAACATTTCGACATTGCCCAGCGGGGACCTCCCTGCCACCCAAGGTCATGGTGTAGGCCACTCCAGTCTCCAATGCACCCTCTCGCCCAACGCTCTTCCGCCCCTGATCGCTGGGCCCGGAAGAGAAATGTCCTGTGGGATATGGAATTGGTGAAGGAGCTGGAAGTTCCGGATTCAGGGTTGCCCAGAATCTGCCACTTCCAGCCTCGTCACCCATTCCACACATAAGCCAATTCCATATTTTGCACACTTAGCCAACAGTTGACTAATCAGTGTCCACTCAAGAATGAAGAGTTGGCTAAACGAAGTAACTGTGAAGGGCACATTTCTGCCTTACAGATCGCCTGAGCCCACCCAGTCATGTACGCCACATGGCAGGACAATCACAGATCTTGCCACAAGCCAATGTATTGTACACTGAGATCGCCCCCTTACTTCAATTGTGCCTTTCGCTTCGCTAGTACTTAACGCCGCTCTGATATAACTTTTGAAGATTCTCACTGTGTTGCCAGGTGGGTCTGGCCGCTTTTGCATTATGAAATTCGGATTATGTGAAACCTTTGCGCAAAAGTTCTCACCAATGGATTGGGCCTTGGCCAGGCATCTCGCGAGCGACAGAACCACTGCGCCTTGATAGGATCAAGTTGATCTGATGAAGTTGTGGAAGGGATGCCACTCAATTGAGACTTCAGGCTAGCTACTTTGAATTTTTTGGCCAAGAACTTTTCTCATTGCCAGGGCGAAACATCTGCAATAACATACAAGAACGTGTTCATTGCAACGCAGAAATTCAGTTGGGTTACATTCAAGGCAGATACGACCGTGCATTGGGTGGAAAAAATATCGAGATCAGGAACCGCACATGAACACGTGGTATTCTTCAGTGTGTATATAGGGGCATGGATTGACATGCAATCGTCGCCTTGGAGGCTAGCTCTCACTCAAAGTGGTCGATGCGTAGCGCCTGCTGAGGTATTCCTGCTTGTTTGCATTCGCAGTATCAACTTAACTTTCAATAACGAGGTGCCCCCTTGCGCATGCTGTACTGCACTGCCGACATAGCATCATTACATCGAAAGGTGCAAAGTCTGGATTCTGTTAATTGCAGGCTCGACTGGCACCACAACTCCAGCCGTTCGCACATGTGTATAATTAGAAGAGGTGACCGCAAGATCACGGCAATTTCGTGAACAAGTGAAGGTGATTGATAACCGCTTACTCCACATACGGGAATGCCATGGGACGCAATGCTCTCTGTGACCTGCTCATTTGTGTGGTATGCAAATGACCGGCAGCCGATATAAACTCATGCAAATCATGCGCATCTCATGATTAATAAAACCTCCGCCCGCAGCGCATGAGCCAACACCTGCGCAGGTGATGGCACTCGCTCCTCGAGAGGATCTACGACGACCACCGGTTCGAAGACTGTTGGGCAGTGACATCGCACCCGATCTGCACTTATGATCATGTCCATCGCGAGCAATAGCGACTGCACGGGCAGCATTGAAAGCAAAACCATGGAAAGCCCAATCCTGGGATCCAACAACGCGGTGATGCTTCATATCAGTGCATTGAAAGAGCCTGCGTTTGCAAAAGGCCCCAGCTTTGAACGTCTCGCAATGTCGTTGAGCATGTTGTTATCGTTGCTGAGCGTTTATCAAGTGTCGTGACTTGAGGCCGCCTTCCCCCGCACTGCTTTCTGATCCGATATTGGTCCCAATGCATTTAGAATTGATGGAACATTGCTGTACTAAATTGGTTCAACCCTTGCGCCCGGAAGCAAGGTAGGACGGAAGCTAGAACCTGCCATGTAGCGGGTACTTAACATCGCTAATGTCTTTTTAAAGTGATGGGCCAATAAAACTTGCCCTGATGTGACTTGTTGGCAGCTTCTGCGACTCCGCTGCCTCCTTGGATAAAACCTAGCACAATAGTTCTTGTCATGGAAGCCCAGAAAATGCCCAGGTACGAAGGCCCCGCGCCCCGCGCCAACCACCCACGCTGGCTTCTCAGGAAGAATCGCCCAAGATTTGGCATCTCGTCGACTCGCGGCCAGGACTAAGGACCGCTGGAATATTCGAAAGCGGATGCCGCGCCACGCGCAGCCAGCTTGACGTCACACAGCACACGGCTTTCCAGAAGTTGGGTACAATGCCCGACGGCTTCTCTGACTCAACCGAAGCACATTTTGGCCCATCAAAGCCGGGGCCCGGGAAAGCGTCTCGAGAGTGGACTAACACATGGAAGCGTCATACAGACCCCAAACTACGGTATTTTCGAAAGTCTTGGCGCCAACAGATTCAGCCTCTTGCTGTTCGGCCCCTCGCCCAATCTGTCGCGCCAGTCTTGCGGCAGCATAAATCGGGAGCCCAGGCGATGCGAGGGCGAAAGCAGCCGGTTTCTGCGGACCTCGGCGGACTCTGACCCCTGACGATCGACCGCGCGGACAAGCCCCGGACCCCTTGCCGACCACGACCCTCGACACGCCTACTTGACCATGAAGACAGTGGCGCTCCTCGCGGCGGTGGCCATGCTCACCCTGCCAACCATGGGATCGCGAGGTAAATATTCGCGCAGCAGAGCTGCCGCGGCGATCGGGGCAATTCGAAGTGTCCACCGAATTCCGTGGCGGCGGCCGTGGCGCCCTGGTCGCTGATGCCGATTGATCGGCGTGGCGTTGGCATTCGTCCCTAATACTTGGGGGCCCAATTTGCGGCGATCGATTTGGCACAGCAGCGCCGGCGTGGCGGCAAAGACTCGTCTTGATGTTGCGCGACTTTGGCAATTCGCACATCGTCCGGCAGAGGTGCATCGGCGCACTGCGATTTTCGCCGTGGGCTCAGACGATGGGCCGCGGATTCAGCGGAGAGGTCACAATTTGCTGTACCCTTGACAAGCCTGCCTACAGAATCGATTTACCGAATCGCCCGCGGCTTTGCGCGAAATGTCGCACAGCCTCATGGAAGACTCTGCCACCCGCCCCAGCGTAACAACTGTCCATGCCGCGACTGTCTTCTGACGCCGTTGGGAGTTTTGCTGCCGACGCGCTGATCGCGCGGATGCTTCTGGAGTGAGCGCGTCGATGGGCAAATTGAATCGTCCCCACTTCAGCCGTTCGTATGCTGCTACCTGGAATCTAACGGGGCATTTGAGTCGTGGCCACAGGAGCATCTCTGTCACACCGCGCTCTAATTGACAGCCGAGATGCCCAGTCACGCTTCGACCGACTCAGTGGTTTGCGAGCGCGCCCTCGCCGACTTTGACCACTGGCGGAGCAGCATTGTGATTCTGTTTGTCGTTGTCGCAGTGTCTCATCAAAGCACCGGCGGAATTGCGCTCCATTCTAGAGGGCTAATGGCCAAAGGTGAGATCGAGAGTTGGCTTGTTGTGCATGAAGTTCTCTTTCATTGCATCACCAGCGCTGAGTTAAGTGCCCTGCCCTCGGCAGACATCCCATGATTTCCGGCGATCTGTCGGGCAGGACATCATCGCCCCAGGTGAAGTGGTCCATCCGAAATAATCTAATCCTTCTGCCACGTGTGCTGCACCAGAGGCTGAGGGACCCACACCCGTCATGACCGAATCTGTGGACGAGGGGGATGTTATGGAGCAGACAGCTGGAGGACCCACTGTCATGACTGAATCTGTGGAAGAGGATGAAATTACGGAGCAGACAGCTAATGGGCCATCAGTCATGACCGAATCTGTGGACGAGGGTGAATCCGATATTATGGAGCAGACAACTGGAGGACCCACTGTCATGCCTGAATCTGTGGACGAGGGTGAAATTGAGGAGCAGGCTGCTGACGGGCCGTCTGTCATGACCGAATCTGTGGAAGAGGCGGAAATTGAGGAGCAGGCGGCAGAAGGACCGTCTGTGGCGACCGAATATCTGGACGAGGATGAAATTAAGGAACAGGCAGCTGAAGGGCCGACTGTCGTTACCGGATCTGTGGCAGCCAGTCCTGATACTGGAGTGGACAGGTAGTGGTGCATAGGCTTGGCCTTGCGATGCTGGCGGCACGACAGGGGGTGGCATTCAGCGGGGATGCATCAACGGGGAAACTTCGTCACATGGCTTACGGGTAGCGGCTTGGTTCGGCGCGCTTGATTTAGACAGGAAAAAGACATTTGGGTTTTCCCGGCCCAAACCGATGGCCGGGTTTTGGGTTACTCGCCTTTTGCAGGGGAGAGTGCAACACTTGAAATGGCCGCCGTGCAGCTCGAACTCATTTGATTTGGGGTCATTGTCATCAAGACACGCCGAAAATACCATCATCCGGCACAACCTGCGCGAGGGGAGCGGCCGGTCGCTTCATCCCATCGGATGAATTTTATCCATGTCTTTGTAATTCACCCAAATGAGACTCTGGCCAGAGGTCATTGGATCTCATTGGCGGTTTTGGACGGCATGGGCAGCGCAAAACACCTATGCGACATGTGGCTTGAATTCAGGGTCGACATAAATACTTCATGGAGCAACACAGTTTCATGCCGTTACACCGGAGTGCATTGAATAGCTGCCCAGTAATGTATTGGAGACTAGTCAATTCGGCTCGGTGTGGTTCAGCTCAGGATATTGCGGCCCAACTCAGAGCAGCGCAGGGCACCGGGTTTGCGCTTTGCCAGGCTCCTACCAGTGGCTGCGTAACGATACCCAACCCGCACGTCCGCCACGCCTTACGGATGTCCAGAGCTAATTCGGTCGCTGATGCGGGCCGTGCGGCTCCTTGAGGCCCGTCAGCGGCGGCCACTCAGCGCGAGTGTCGGTCATGACGTCCCATCGCCCCACATTACCGCACGACACCACACCCTCACGCACGGCACATCACCAACGCGCAGACCTTCCCGGTAATGTACATAAAACTCCCGAGGGATTGGCCTTCTGGTGCCATCGCTCCTGCGCCTTCTGGGACCTCCCTGTGAGCGCACGGCTAAGCCGACGGACCGGGCGCGGCCCGCAGCTCTTTCCAGACGGATCGCAGCAGCCTGGCAAGCCACAGTCTGCCCCCTCCGGCTCGGAGACTGCCATCATGTCGAACTGCTGCGGCTCGGATGCCAAGCCCAAGAAGGACCCCCGCGACTTTGTGGAGGAGTACTACGGCAAGATCCTGGCGACCTCCAAGGACCTCAAGACGAACGCCTGCTGCGCCGCGGGCCGCCCGGGCGCGCGGCTGGCGCAGTTGATGAGCGCGGTGCCCGCGGAGATCATGGAGAAATTCTATGGCTGCGGTGCGCCGCTGCCCCTGGGGATCGACGGTAAGCGCGTGCTGGATCTCGGTTCCGGCTCGGGAAGGGATTGCTACGTGGCGGCCGCCCTTGTGGGTGCGTCTGGCCGTGTGACGGGGATCGACATGACGGAAGAGCAGCTGGACGTGGCGCGCAGCCACCTGGAGGCCTACACCGGCGCCCTTGGGTACAATGAGCCCAACATGAACTTCGTGAAGGGCCATATCGAGTTTTTGGAAGATGCGGGCGTGGAGGGCGATTCCGTGGACGTGGTGATCAGCAACTGCGTCGTGAACCTATCGCCGGACAAGCCTCGCGTCCTGCGGGAGGTGTATCGCGCGCTGGCGCCCGGCGGGGAGTTCTACTTCAGCGATGTGTACTGCGACAGGAGGCTGCCGGAGAGCGTGCGGGAGAACGAGGTGGGCGGCCGACGCGCGTGCGAGCCGGTGATCGACGATCGCGGCGATCGTTCATTCGCGATGCAGCACGCCCGCGGCCTGGAGGCGGCGATCAGCTCTGGGGCGACGCCATCGCCATCCGCGCCGATTTTGTGATCTGTCTGGCGACTGATTTGACGCCTGGCGGGGAACTTGTAGCTTACGGATGACCCCGCGCAGGCAACTGGGTGATTGGTGGAAGCTGGTTTCTTGCTGCGACGCTTTAATTTCACAGCAAACTGTGAAAGGTGTTGGATTTCTGGGAACCAGCTTTCCAAGGTGCCGGGCGGAAGACTGGCTGTCGAATGACCACCATTTAGAATGCCTGCTTGGAGACCCGGGCAACTGAATAGTATTCAGAGACCAATGCTTTTAGCAACTTTTGCGCTTCCTGGTTGTCATATAGCCTTGTCTGGAATTTCCTCAAGAGGGAAGCAACCTGTTGCACAATCCGCATGCTCCTGGCCCATCTCAACACTGTTGGGATGCTTATCCACACTTCACAAGTGATTTAGAAGTCCTGCAGCAACGCATGTAAACTTTCGCACTTGGGTTTGATCGTTGTCAACACGATGCCAATCTGTGCACAGTTGCTGTTGACCAACACAATTGCTGCTGCCAACACAAGAACAGCATTGTTTATCTGTGAACAGGGCAAATTTCTTTGATTTGCTACTGCCAAGCTGTTGCTAACCTTCTTCTGGCTTTTATTTATGATGACAGAGTGTGGGCTGTGCCTATGCAGGTTCTGTGGGGCGAATGCATTGCTGGCGCACTGTACATTCAAGACTTCGAGAGAATGGCCAGGGAAACAGGGTTTGCCGATCCTCGTGTGCTTTCAACAGCACCGATAGCGATTCAGAATGCTGAACTTGAGCAGGCAGTGGGCGAAGCAAAGTTCTACTCAATAACATACAGGTATTGTGCTTTGCTGTTGAACACTTGTGACATTTGTTTCACAATGGGCAGCTGCCATTGCCTTGCCTGTTGAGCCCATTCTGTGCACGTTCATGATAGCAGATTCCCATCAACCTGCATATCTTGAGCAGAAAATATGTGCTGCTATTGCTTGCTCACTCAGGGTCAATGCTGTTGCTTTGCAGGCTGTTCAAGATCCCCGACAAGATCGAGCCCACATCTGAAGACTATGGCCAATATGCAATCTACAAGGTGACTGGTCGTCGCTAGTGACGAGGCCCGAGCACAGTCAGCTCTTGACAGAGAACAAAGTGTCTTGTGGCATGTCTCTTGACCACGCTTTCTGTACAACTGAGTTGAAATGCTCTGGAATGGCAGCCTAGCTTGCACTTCCTGCTGCAGGTGTCAGCATGCTTTGTGCCATTCAGCATATTATTGTACAAGCAGCATAACAAGTGTGTGATGCTGGTTCGGAATTCACCATTGTCCAATCAAGAATTTTGGAATCCTTTCTTTGGGGCAACGATTTTGGCCTGGGTTGAACAGGGCACCATTGAAGGTCACGAACATGCGTATGAGCTGGATGACAAGCACCACTTTGAAACTGGAAAGCCGATGCTGGTGGATGGCAACACTGCTGCCATGGTGGGCGAGGATGGGATCAGCTGGCTCTCTCCACATTTCCAGGTAAAAATTGAGGGAAGTGTCCACAATCAAGATAGGGTGTGCTGAGCTGTGTGCACAGAGCTTGTCACCTGGGCACCCAACCAATATGATACATAATTTGTTGTTTCACAAGCCAAGAATCACTGCCTTTGGGGGGGGCCGGGGGGTACTGATCCTGTTGTGCACTTAGAACATGTTCTGGGACCTCAGGTTGGACAGGAAGTCCTGCTGCTCCTTCGGAGGATACGTTGATTATTGTCTCAGGCACGGCTCTGCCATTGGAGCCCTCCATATTTCCTGCAGTTTGACAGGAAATCTTTCATGAAAATAAGTCAAACTTGGGCAAGGAGAACAGCCACCTTGCCTGCCATTCATTCAGCTGTTGGCAGACGGCATCCCAACCAAGGACATCACACATGTCTTTCACAAAGTGGGCTGGGTTAGTGTGTGCATGTGGGTGTGGGTGAGTGGGTGGAGACTCAGCCAGTTGTGTGGGTCGAACGGCACCTGTCGAAGCCCAGAGCTGAAATTCTTGCTTGGTTGCAATTGCGAAAAGGATGGTCAAGCGCGCCGCCCTGCAGCCTTGAAATCCCATGAATGGCACTTGCTTTTCAGATGCTTTGATCGCCACATGATTTGCACAGTGGAACCCCACTCTCCAGATGCCAAGGAGCACAGGCAGCGGATGTAGGAAGACGGCTAAACAAGGGGGACACTGGCCTCAAAGTTGAATATTCTTTCATACGGCCCAGGCAGTGCCGCGTGCAAGATCTTCACTTTGGGGGCTGTTCCTGAAATTGTGTAACTGGACAGTAGAATGCGAAAATCACTTACCTAACGGTGGCCGTGAAATGTGCTGTGCAGGTTGTCGGCGACCGATCAGTCCACTATGGCCGCTTCGGGAGTGGCAACCTTGCATCTAGCTGTGCCACTGGCTCCGGCAGGAGTTGTTGCTGATTGTCATGGTCTTGGCGATGGAATATGACCAGAACTGTGGTATAGCTTCACGGGATTCCGTAGTGCTTCAGTCAATCTTGTCACGAGGAAAACGTCCACAATTTTATTTTAGAAAGGCGTGCAGAACTGTACCTTGGAAGATGGAATTTAGCGTTGGTTTGCGGTGTCGGTGGGACGCTGTGTTGCCGCTTGGTGTCGAAAACTCTGATGTTTGTGAGGGCACACTTGCCCTGTTGTTGAGATGGTTGTGGCTGCATGGAATGTATGAGAAGAGCAGCACAATTGAGCCAATGCCACAGGGTTTCCGGCAAACGCATGTAAACGCATAGAATGTGCTATGTTTGTAGGCAGCGCATGATCTCCCTTCAGATTGCATCGCAGCGTCCAGGGATGTCCTCAACACTGTGCTTGACTGGACTAGAGAAATCAGCGCAACTGCACAGCATCAGGCCCAATACATTATCGGAATTGTGGGGATGGCACACTGTCAGACTGTCAGAATTCATGATGCGTCGGCACTGATGGCATCGACGGCATTCATACCCCCCAGGCTCCTGGTGCGCAAGGCTTGATGCAGCGGTGCTCAGCAGTGCAGCAGCAATCTCGCTGCAGTAATGGACATGAATGTTGCGTAAACACCCTCAATGTTTTCTGATGCCTGCCCCCTGTGTTGCCGCGTGTACTATTATGTAAACACTGGTGGAGAGTGCACATACCACACGCGTGTGGCCATGGGCAGGCGTACGGTCGATCGCCCAGGGGGGAACCTTGCTGTCGCAATGCACGCAAAGCCGTTCTTCTCAATGTTCCGCCCGCGTTGCGACGGGACAAGGCCACATTTTTCATGCGCAGAGGCGTGCACAGGTGTTGCGGGACGACAACTAGTTGCTACAACGATGTCACGGAGCTCAAAGCGGACAGCAGCTCTTGCGTCTAAATACGTGATGCAAATGCCCCCAAAAGCGTTGCATCATACCAAGCTGAGCTCCAACCGTGGGTCAGGTGCTAGAAATGTGTTGTCAAAGTTCCTTGGCCATCCCGGTTCGAGATCCCGCTCGTCGCAATCGTCGCAATCGAATGCGCACAGCGATGGACCACAAAACAGCGCAAGTCAAGCCTTTTGGTTCGACGTCTGTGGCAGCTTTGGTGCACGCGGCGCTGAAACGCACTCGCCGTGCATGGCCAGACAAGCAGCCAAGACTCGACTCCTCTTGGTTTGGCTGTAAGACAAGCCCACGAACAAGTCTCGGGCTCTCTTAAGTACCAGAATGCGCCTCTTTTCTCGCCCACCAGAATCCACGCTCACAACGGCAGACTGAACTCACACTTCACACACGCACAACTGGCTACCCCACAGCAGCGACCCATAGCATCGACCCACAGCACCGACCCACAGCTGCAACCCATAGTACCAACTCACGATCGCCAAAATTAGTTAGATTGGAGCTGATTGTTGGCCAGCCGTCCTCCCGCCATCTCAATCAGGTCAATGTGTGCACCAGTTAGCCAGCACATGGCCAACTGCTTGCAGAACGTGGCAATTGTGGCTGTCTTTGTATGTCAGTCTTTCATCCCTTTAAACTGGCTCTTTAAGCTGTATTCACTTTTTTCATTGAGTTTCACTGCACATCAGTGTTCAGCCACCGACCTCCAGTCATGAGAACTAGAAAGTTGCATGTGAAACATCGAGAAAAGGTGCCTGTCATTCAAAGATAGAAGACTGTTGATGGCATTCCTCGAAACGGGATTCTAATATGCCACCATTTAATCATCGGATTACAAAACAGTAATTGACGGAGGCAGACCAGTGGTCAATTACTGGTAATTGGAACAGAATTACAAGCCAGATTTGGCCAAAGAAAAGTCGTCGCTTATGACAGGTCGCCATTTAGAATTCGCTATCACAAGGTTCCGACATTGGCCACCAGCGGTGGGATGCGGCTGCTGGTGAGAGAGTGCGCGTGTGTAAAAGTGTTCCTGGTGTTCCAACAGCAGGCAATGGTTGTGTGCGTCACTGGGGCAAGGCCGCGATCTGAGTAAATGCGGTTAAGTGCATTTTAGGCAAGCCCCTACGTCGGTTGTGCAGCACATAGCGTTTGTTTGGCACACACACTCAAATTAACTGATAGCGTGACACAATGTAACGATGTCCTCAAGGAAAGCAAATAAACATACCTGTGGCGATTGTAGAGGGTTGCAAAATGGGGTGATGGAAGCCGCGACAGGCAACGGGGCGGTGGGTTTGGCCCCGGAGGCTTTCAGTTGATGCACACTGGTGGCCTCCTTGAAGAATGAATGCTTGATGGCCGTCAAACATCCCCGCGGGACGTGCCGCCAGTCACGACTTGTCAGCAGCTGATCAGCGCTGGTTTGGGCATTTTCCAAGGACAAACTGTTGCCGATGTCGCGGCAATCATATAACCGCTTGGCGTCACAAGCTGTAGCCACGGATGTTGAGGGCTAAACGGCGATGCGGTGGGTCCTAAGCGAACCAAATTCGATAGGGTAGTCCGCTTGCCGTTGTCCAGCAACGTGATGGCCAGCCCTTGCCGAGCAAGTCCCAGTACGTCAGTGAACCCGCGCGGCCCAGCGAAGCCCCAAGGCCCTGTCCTTTCCGGAGAAATACGTGATGCTGCCCCCAAACTTCCCCTTCCCGCTGCCCTTGATTCCTCACCGGGTACCTTCCCCAATCCCGGGCAGAGCGAAAAGACTTCGCCAGTGGAACAGCGGCTGCCACTCCCAACAGGGCGCCGCCCAAACACCCCCTCTGGGCCTCGGGCCCTTGTCCTCTTTCTCCTGGAGGCCGCACAGGGCATCGGCAGCGGGCCGTAGTCCCACGCGCCGGCCTGTGGCTGGGCGTGGCGAGTTCTTGCCCGATTGCCGGATTTGGTACATACCTCGAAACGTGAGGCGAGCCTGGCAGGCCGCGGCGGAGGGGGCGGAGCGACTGGAGGGCTCAGGGGTGCCTCGCAGCGCCCCTGGGCTTCCACGGGGGCTGGGGGATGTCAGCGAGCCTGAAGAGGATGCTGAGGAAGAGCCTGACGCGGGATTCGGGGAATTCGATGAAGGGGGGCGCGGGGCGCGGCGGCAACGGGGAGGCAGGGGGGGAATGGCGCCTGAACAGATCGCCCACGTTTCCGCACCAGATGCACGCGGAGAGCGTGAAGCGGCTGACGGAGCGCGAGCGGCAGGAGCTGGCCAAGGACACGGTGGGGGGGCTGCCGGGGGCGGACAAGGGGGACCTGCTCCCCGGCGAGTCGCAGGTGAGGCCTGCGGGCTGCGGAGCCGGGATGGTGGCACGGATTGCAGCAGGCTGGTGCCGGGGCGCGCTGGCTTGTAGTAGGCAGCTGGGCCGCGGATCGACGGCACGTGTTGCGCCTCTGTGGGGCGATTCTAAGCCGCTGGGGTGCGGCGATCCAAGCGATCGGGCTCGTGTGGGGGCGCGCCGCGCGCATCGAATTCGGCTGGGTGCGGATCGCTCGACGCGTGCGAGCGTCCCGTCGCATCTGTTACGCGGGTTTGGGTCATTGTTCGTGGGCGGGCGCGATGGCTTGCGCCGCGGGGGGGGTGGCGCCGCAGTTGTGCGGCCGGCGAGGCTTGCATCGATGGGCCGGGGCTGCCGTAGGGTGGACGGCCCTGATGCGAGACGCCGAAGCCGCAGTGGGCTTTGGATGCAGGGGAGCGGGCCGTTGGCCCGTCCAGTCGCACTCTGGTTTGTGTCCGGCCTGGCATGGGAGGGTGTCTCGTTGGCACCTCGGCGGTCGCCAGACGCCGCTTTTCGCAAGGGAGTGGAAACAGGCCGGCGCGGGCAAAGGGGCTCCAGTCCTCGTGCAAACCCAACCCCTGGACCGACCCCACAATCGCCCCAGCTTCGTCTCCGTGGACTCGTGGCGAGGAGACCGGTCGGGACTGGTTGGCGGGCCTGCTGCAGAGCGGGGCGCGATCAGCGCCTGGGTTGCGCTCGCCAAACGGGAGACGTTCGTTCCCCCCGCTCCTGTTCTGGGCTCAGTGAGCCGGGGTCGATCTGGGCTTGTCGCAGGCCGCGCTCTGCATGCCGCGGGGCTTCGCATTGGGTCGGGCGTGCGCAGGAATGCGGCCCAACTGACCCCGGCGTCAGGCTGGGGCTCGTGGGGTGCGGACGCCCTGGTAGAGCAGGAGACATTCGGGGCTTGCTCAGTTTTCGTTTGCAGCGGGGGGGTCCGTCCGCACGGGCGCCTGCCTGGCGCAGTACCTTTGCTCACTCTATCCCTCAGGCGTGTGACTTTCCACTTTAGTCCACCACAAATGGATGGAAAATACGCGTTGCTTCTGAGACCATGCTCTTTTTTTTGTTTTGGAATTCCAATGTATTACACCAAAAAATAAACAGAGGAGCTCCCCCAATGTCGCCATGCTCGCTGAAACTCGCACACGATTTTCATTGCACTTTGCTCTCGTTGTTTACCTTCATCCATGGCAGTTCACAACTCTCCAAATAAGCACTGTTATCGCATCCTTGGTTCTCTTTGTGGGTGTCATGGCGAACCTGCTGACAGCCAAACAACAACCTGCCCAAAGTATGCCTGCCTTGGGCCACCCTTCCCTGAGGGTGCCAGTAACGCTCTTAAAGTACTGTGAGGCTTCCAACCTGCCCACCCTATTATTGCATCCGCCCAATTCAGTGCGGGAGTACATAGGAATCGCTCATGCAGGAGGTTCCCTTGTAAATGCATTTAACAAGTTTGCATTCCAACGTAGTTGGAGGGATTTAACTTGGCACTGTATGGGCTATTGGTGAGGCATGCATCTAAGACGAACTAATAGTCATGCACATAACAAGCAATGTGTAGTTTTTGTCATCATCCATGTGCAGAAGGCTACAGCAGAGTGGCGCACTGTGTACATCGACCCCAGTGGTGAAACCCTGCCAGGGAGCTTCAAGAACAACTCAATAAGGACGTCAAAGTACAATGTCATCACATTCCTGCCAATTTTCCTCTTCGAGATGTTCCGAAGGGCCGCTTACCTGTATTTCCTTCTCCAGGTGAGTGGTGGTGACTGCTATGTTGAGAATGTGGGCACACATGCCAATGGGCAGCTGTGCATGTTGGTCAGGAGGGTTGCAAAGAGTTCGAAGCACTTGAAATCGCTTCATCCAAAGGCACATCAAGTGCTGTAGCAGGAACCCTCAGGGCTCGTCAGAAGTTAAGCCACAGGTGCTGACCAACAGCACATCACCAGCTTGCAGCACTGCAGTCCCCTCAGGGATTTGTGCAGTAGCCGCTGCGCATTGCATGGTCTTTCGTATGTGCTTGCATGTGTGCTGGATGCCCTTCATGATTGCCAATATGCTACGTACGTTGCTGCCTCTGTTGCTGCTGCCTGTGTGCACATGCCAATTGTTGTGGCAGCAGTTCATTTTCATTTTTTCTTTTTGTAATTGGTGCGTGCTGAGGTCTCAGATACTGGAAACTGCAGTCCTAAGGCCTCCAATTGCAACATGAGCTCTGCGCTTCAAGAAAGTCGCCTGACATTAAACCTGAACAACAGCTCGCATGAAGAGCGCCAGGTTTCATGTCGCTGCCCATTCTTGTACTTGAAAGTGCGCTTTATCAATGATGGTCTGTTTTTGCAGGCTGGGCTGTCATGGGTGGATGAAATCTCACCTTGGAGCCCTTTGGGTGCCACAGCGGCCCTGGCGTTTGTGCTGGCTGTCTCGGCTGTAAAGGCAGGTGTTGAAGACTACAAGAGGCATGCTGAGGACAAGGTGACCAACAACACTCCCACGGCTGTGGTAACAGACTTGAAGACAGGTGTGTTTGCCAAATATGGCACTTGGCATTGCTGCCCCGTCGTCCTCTTGTGTTGTGTTTGTTGATCAGCCTGTGGGGAACAGTATAAACACCCGGGGCTGTCGATGGTGGCCTCATGATAGCCATCGTGGTTGTTATGTGTATTTGCCCCGAGGCATTTTGTTATGACTTGTGATGCCTGCTGCTGCATGCCCAATCAAAGGGCAGAACATTCTGTTGAAAGCAGTCATGCTGTTTAGTGATAGTCCTGTAGCCAGCAGAATGCTGCCTTGATGGTGCCATGTGCACTTGATATGACAACCATGGTGTGGCTCAGTTTATCTGTATTCCTGTGAGCAGCTAACGCTGTGTGAAACAATGTTAGGGTGGGGATTTCCTGTCCATCGCCCAAATTATGACACATGGTAGAAAAGCGACTCCAGCAGCCTCTCCAGAATGGCACAGCATCCTTTGCAAACACTGCCATAGGATAGGGAGGAAAGAGTAGCTTTGTCATTGTCAGTGGAGAGCATAGGTCAAGAACGTGCTTTGGGCAGCATGTGCACTTGGGGATTGTGTTCTCAGTAAATGCATGTCTGCAGGGGAAGTGGAAGCAAGGAAATGGAGAGAAGTGAAGGTTGGCGACATTGTGAAAGTAAAGGACGGGGAGTTGTTTCCTGCGGACCTTATGTGCCTAAGCACTGGTTTGGCTGACAACCTTTGTTACATCAGGACAACCAATCTGGATGGGGAGTCCAATCTGAAGATAAGGAAACCGGTTGACCTGCGAGGAATACCTGGTTTCAGGGACAACGAAAAAGAGGTCTGGTCAGCTTCTCTCAAGTTGTGGCAGGAAATGCATTGGGAAATATTGTTGTACTAGTTGGGAATGAAGCACAGGCCCTGGCCCACTCCTCATCCAATAACATCTCTTTGCCGCACGCTCCTGTCAATTCTCAGTCGCCAGCACAATCAGCCCCCTGAATACCAGTATTTTGCTTATTCCAGTGTCCCTTGTTCCTGGATGCCAGCATTGAACCATTTTCTTTGGCTTCTGCTCAAGTGCAACAGCATGCCAGTCACGTACTGAGGGCATCAGTTGTTCCTTTTGCAGACTTTGAAGCTTCCACTCTCCTTCAGGGGTCACCTTGAGAGTGAGCTGCCCAACCGTGACCTGCACAGGTACAAGGGTCGTTTTAAGGCTGTTTACAAGGACGATGCGGGTGCCGACAAGAAGGCTGAGGTCCCTGTGACTATGAGTGAGATGCTTCTGAGAGGTACTTTGTTGAAGAACTCAAGGTGGGTGAGGATTCTGGTCACTGCCAATGGTCAATTGCCTGTCAAATTTGTCATCAAAGTGCTGGCTTTCTTGCAGTTGTCTCCCTGTCCTTCTACGGAAGTGGTCTCATGAGAACTGCAGTTGGCTTGGGAACATTACAGTGCTGAATTTGTCATGGAAAGTGACTACAGTCTGTCTTATCCTTGTGTGGCGGGCGGGTGGCTGGGGGTGGTGGTGGGGGAGGAGGCTGGAACCGTTGCTTGCTTCTCCGAGGTCAATGCCAGTGAATGCATTTGGAGGAGACACTGTTTCATCAGAGATAGAATCTGAGATTGCCCTTCACAGCTTCCCGCTATTGTATGCCAAAACGCTCATAAAATTTAAGAGTCCATGTGCGACCCTGATTGTAACAGAAGGGGTGTGGGTATTTGGTTGGCAGTTTGTGTTGACCTGCCGTGAGAACAGATGTCACCACCTTGGAAACCTGGCACCGTTTATCTCCATTCAAAGACACCTGCAAGTGTTGGTGAATGAAGTTGAAGTAGGTTATTGAGTGCTGACATATTTTTTCTGGTATGCAAAGGCATGTGTACGGCTTGGTTGTCTACACTGGTTGTGATACGAGGATCCAGAAGAATGCAGCCACTCCACCACTGAAGTATGGGTCTTTTGACCGCTTCTTGAACATACAGGTCTACGGTCTCATTGTGATACAGGTGTGTGAGCTGCGGGCAGTTTCCTATGTCGAATGCCGATTAGGCAAGTACTGATACGCACTCTCAAGCGCAGTTTCTACCAATTTGTATATTGTCCTGTTGCATGAACTGGCTAGCTTGTAGTGTTTCACCTCTTTGCTGCAATGAACCCCTGAACTTGTTGAAGGACAATGGCCGTCCAATGGGTTTTTGTGCGTGCACCCTGGAATTCCAGTGTAGCCTGAAGACCTGTTGCCCTGAGCAGCAGCAGTTGGCGCAATCATTATGGAGGCCCTTTGTAGGCAACTTTTCGAATAGCAGCTGCTGTTATTTCTTCAAGGAGCATGGGGCAGTGTATCTAGTGCTGCCTTGCAGGCCCTCATGTGCTTACTATTGGCTGGAGGAAGTCTGATATGGAGAGAGGAGGAAGGCAAGAAGCGCTACTACTTGGGGCTCAACGAGTTTGTTGCAGGGAATTATGAGGACAAGGCAACATACTTTTTCCTTGTGTTCCTCACATTCTGGATTTTGACTTCCTACCTGGTACCAATCAGCTTGTTTGTCACCATCGAGATTGTGAAGTTCTGGCAGGTATGCTGCATTGTAGCTTTTGCTGCACGTCTACTCGTTTGACTGCTGGGCGATGTCAATGTTTGCATTTCTGCATCATGGAAAGCCAGCATGTACAGGGAATAGTTGTGAGATGGAACGATGTCCCATGCTTGTGTATGCACCCTCATGTTGTTGCCAAATATTGTGAGGCCATCGTACAGTGATATAAACCATCTGCTGTCAGACGATCTGACTTTGGTAGAGATTGCTGACTTAGCCAGCATGCTCCGTAGTTTGTTGTGCATTTCAAGAGTGCATTTGTTCAACTCCACCAATTGATCGTAAGCCAATGTGGCACAAAGATCGAGCAATGAACAGGCGTGCAAGTTTGCCGGATGTAGCTGGGATGAACTGTCTTTGTCTGCAGAAGACGATTGTATGTGCATGAATCTGGATTCAAGGTTTTGGAACATGGGTTTTAGGATGAGGCAAACATGAAACACCCAATTCACTCTGGCGGTGTAACCACTACAGCCTTTCTATATCACCTGGCTCTTTTGTGAACATTTTGCTGTGATATTGGAAAAGAAGAAAATGGTGACAAGCATAAGATGCAGCAACACTTTGGAGAGCCTTGCTGGTAGGTCAGCGTTTCATTGTTGCCTTCCAGCCTGATGGTGTTTCTCTTGTTGTCCTGGGACAGGCATTTGTGTTCATCAACAATGATCCACACATGGTGGTAGAGGGCGATGAAACATCGCATGCACATGCTCGTAATTCGAATGTGAATGAAGATTTGGGCAAGGTGGCATATGTGTTCAGTGACAAAACTGGGACACTCACCAGCAATGAAATGCAGCTGAGGATGGTTGCCGTGAAAGGGAACATTTTTGGTGACCCTGACATAAGGTAGAATGGGTAGAAAATTGAAATCATTTCAGAGTGCAGCAATTGTTGAAAATTGCTATGGGTTTGCATAGTGATTGGTGCATGCCAATGGATGTGCTTGTGCAGAAGGTTGTGTGGCAGTAGTGGGAGGGTGCAGGTGTTCTTCCAGCCTGTTTGTTTTGGCTGCAATGAATGCTTTGAGTCTACTTGATTCCATTTGAGACAAGGCAGGATTCTCACAGTGCCTGTGCCCAGGGCAATGCAGGGCAAGTGATGCCATCTTTGATTGTTCAGCATCTGAGGGAAGTCTCGACCAAATGCTGTACCAAGTTGTTGTTATGCGCCCTCTGCGGGCAGCTGCAAGCTTGTCATGCTGTGGCTAAACCACAGTCTATAGACTGGAACAGGGCCCTACCCACACCAAATCTTGGCTATTTCAATCCAGCAGTGAACAGGTGCAATAGTAAGGAGCTCCCAATGGCATGAGCCTTGGTTCACATTCCCATGCATATGAACAATAATGGGCACTAGGGCTGACGGAATTAGGCATCATGTGCAACAGCACCTATCCACACAAGGGAATCAGCTCTGGTGGCTGCTGGCCATTCTTTGTTGATTGGTGGGATAAGATGACAGGCTAGTGTTCATGGCTCTGTGCTAGGTTGGAAGAGCTTGGTGAAGAGGCAAGAGGCAGACAGTCCCTGGAGGCATTCGACCGAAGGCTATCAAAGGTGGTCCTGGATATGTGCAGATTACATCGTGACCTTTGCTTTCTGATGAGAGCTGCTTCAACACCTGCCCATGTCGTTTCCACGCTGTTTTTTGTCACCTCAATCTGTGTGAGCTGTAGGTGGTGTAGAAGGGATCCAGAGATTTTGTTTGTGGCTCTAGTTTGTGCTGCTGCAGTGCATCCTGTATGTCACCTGGGCGATACATGCATAACAAATAATAAATCAGTGCTAGATGTGCATGCCCGTTCCCTATCATCCCATTGCAGTGTTCTCAAAATCCTGAGTGCTGCTCTGGCTGTGCTTGCAGGCTGTGGAGGTTCTCAAGAATGGGAATTTCTGGAAGTCCTTAATTAACCAGGGGGGCAGCCGTGCAGAAGTCTTGAGACTTGCAGGTGGTGGCCCTGGTATGAAGTCCCAGAAGACAATGAAAAGCAAAGCAATTCAAAAGGAGCTTGGTGGTAGGCTGCTGGTTACTTGACAGGCTGGCCTTGCTGTTCTTTGCTTGAGTGGTTGGTTTTGTTCAGTATATCTAGGGACATCCAACCAGTGCAGCGAATCCGTTCATGTCCATAACAGCCATGGAAGTGCGATTCCATTTCTGCCGTGTGTGCTTCCTGTTGCAGTGGTTGTTGCCAGTGTTGCCATTGTGGTTGTGTGTGTGTGTGTGGGAATGTGTGCATGAATGTGACTTGGTATTTGAACAACAAAAATCTTTGATTGCTACCCTGTCTGCTTCTGTGCTGCACATACCCCTCTAATGCTGGTCATTGGTGGGGCTATTGTGCAGGATTTGCAGACCTTGAGGATGGTGAGGAACTGGGATCCAGTGATACACCAAACTCGTCTTTCAAGATAGAGAGTCACGAAGTAGGCGATTATGTGCTTGGATGGCACATTGTTGATTTCTGGACCAATATCTGCATTTGCCATTCCTTGATCATTGAGGAGACGAACGATGACAAGGGTAGAAAGAAGCGAGTGTACCAGGTGTGTGGCCGGGCTCGGAATTGCTCTTTGGTTGTGTTCTGTGTTTGTCACAAGTAGAGTAGCTGAGTGTGGTTCTTGTTTTGAAGATCTGCAGAGAACACCAGTGATGTGACGGCTTGGGATGTGCCACAAATGAGCAGTACCTCGCATTGGGCTGGTGCATAGCAAGCCATCAAACCACAGTGGAGAACAGAACTCGTGTGGCAGCAGTCTTGACTGGCTGCCATTGCAGCCCGAACACCTGTTTACCTGAAGGTTCAGGATAGGGCTGCTCGTTGACTGGTCGTTATTCAATATTGTCTGCCACGTTTCTCCTTTTGTTCATAAAATTTCTACGAGTGTGATGTTGGTGTATTCCACATTTGTTGCATTTGTATGTTGTTGTCTATCTGACAAGAAGCAGCAGACGTCAGTGCCTGCATGGCACATGAGCTCATTAAAATTGTGGCCAGCATCTACCCTGACATATATGCTGGTGGATCACAATGAGAGCAGTGTTGTGTTGTTTCCTGCTCTAGAGTACTGCTGTCCAGGTGGGCTCAACTTGTACATCAAGCCATCTTTGAGTGGTTTGTTTGCTGTTGCTGTTGCAGTGCTCACAGCTGTAGAAACCACAGCTGCACATATCATCTCAGTGTCATGTTACACACCAATTTCTGGTGGAAACACTTTGTTAGAATTCTGTGTGGTTGGCCATCTGACGTGTTCAGCAGTGTGCAGAGGGTTTTGAGCTCATCATTTGTTGGCATTGGGCAGGGTAGCATATTGTTCTAGCCTGATTGTAAAGCTTAAGGGAAACAGATCTGTATCCAGCCAGTGTAGTTGCAGAAAGAATCGACCTTTGCTCACATCCTGCTCCTTTGGGCTGATGGCTGGAGGAACTGGTTTGGAAAGCGGAATGGCAGAGGGCTTGGTTCCATGTACATTGCTGTGCATAACCAGAGCCAATGTGGATGAGCAGCACATGTTCTTCAAAATGCATTGGCGAACAATAGAATGTAAAGAAAGGATTGCACAGGATCGACATTTCCAGTCACAACACTGAAGATGTCTTTGTGATTCATCACCTATTTGTTTTGGCAGGGCCCTTCTCCCGATGAAGTGGCACTGGTAGAAGCAGGGAGGCAGCTGGGTTTTGAGTACTGTGAACGAGGCCTAACTGATGTCACACTGAACCTTCAAGACCACCAAGTCAAATTCGACGTCTTGAATGTTTTGGAGTTCAGCAGCGATCGGAAAAGGATGTCTGTGATAGCCCGATCGCACGATGGCACCATCCGGCTGTACAGCAAAGGGGCAGACAATGCGATCATGGAACGCCTCCAGCCCAACACTGACCCCGACTTGCTGGAGAAGACAAAGGAAGATCTGCACGATTTCTCAGTCCAGGTATGACTCCATTTGGTTTCAAAGCCAGTTATCAAGAGAATATCAAGCCGTCTTGACCTGACTTTGCATTGCCTCAATTATGTGTTGTGGTGGTCACCGCTCATGTGTTTGCTATATTACGTTTGTCCTGGTATGTCTGTGCGTATACGCTTCGTCCGGGGTGCCTTATGTTATTGCTGCACTGGCAGAAATTCTTGTGCATAATAAAGTTCCTGGCAAGAAAGGTTACCAGCTTCATTGCACTGCAAAATATGCGCCCACAAGAGTTCCAGCCAAAACAATTGCTCACTACATACAAACGACCACCGCCTTTAAGCAGCGGCACAGCTTGGCTTCCTCTGGATACACTATACCCATCCTGCACAGAAACTGTCGCTCGATCCTTTGAATGCTTGAATGGCTCTGGCAATGCCATAGCGTGGTGGCGTAAGCTGACCAAGGGTGTCTGACGTCGTCTGGGTCACCTGCTCACTTGGGGTACAAAACTGGGAAGGTTCAAAGGCCACACTTGGGCAGCCTCCTGGGCGTCACTCTTCCGGCGCTCTCTGTTGGCATCGTGGTTGATCGCAGGGCCAAACATATTCCCAGCCAAATGTATATTTGCAGATTTTGCTGAGCTGCAAACAATGCGATCGCCCTTTCCATGTTTGTGTCAGCGCAGTAGTGACAAAGTGGTGCACTTGCACCTAGGTCGTGAGGGTGGTCCAACACTAGTGAATTGCTGACTGGGGGTTTATTTGGCTCTTTCCGTTTCAGGCAGGCATGTCTTCATTCTGTTTAGGGGAACTGAGAGGTAGTTTTGCCAGCAGCAATTTGAGCTTGGAATGGCGAAATTTTGAGGTTTGTGGGATTATTCAAGAGGCGGCTGCAAATGGGTGGGTCAACTGGGGCTTGCAGTGTTGCTGAGTGTAACACATGCAGGCTCGTCTTTGCATCGAACCCTAAACCAGGGTGTTCCACAGGGCCTTCGAACGTTGTTGCTGGGGACGCGAGTTCTCTCCAAGGAAGAATGGGAGCAGTGGGATAAAGAATACCAGGAAGCTGCATCCAGCCTGGACGATCGCGATGCAAAGATTCTGCGAGTCGCAGATGTGATTGAACGTGACCTGGAGCTTGTGGGAATCACAGCCATTGAGGACAAGCTCCAAGAAGGAGTGCCAATGGCCATTCAGACGCTTCGCATGGCGGATATGAAGGTTTGGATGATAACTGGAGACAAGATGGAGACAGCGATAAACATTGGTGTGTCTTGTCGTCTGATTGGCAACCAAGAGAGGGTCATTATTCTGACAGCAGATTCAGAAGATGGTGAGTTTCGTGCTTACTGCTGTACTTGCCTTGCACAGCGATGCAATGGAAATGTGAGACAATGTGGCAGTTGTAGCCGATTCAGCAAACTTGCAGCCCCTTGTGGCAATACCCATGCTGTGAAAATGCAGCTGTACTATTGTCAATAGTATGCTTCTGCTATTTTCTTCTGCCATTGGGCTGTTTGCAATTATGCACTACCCCATGTGTTGACAGCAAAGCCTTCATAGGGATTAGGATGCAAGTACCCACTCCTGCATCGATGCAGTGAGTCCTGCATTTAGAATCTTGCCCAGTTCTTGTTGGAGGTGACACCAAAAGCATTCCTGTGTGAAAACAAAGCTCTGGCCATTATGTATGCAATCTTTGGCGCCCGTCACCCTGCATGTGCTGGTACAGCCCATCTTGTGCTTTTGTTCAGGCACAGCAAAGCAAAGCATCTCACCGGTCTTGCAATGTTGCTTATGCATTGGTGTCTCTGACGTGCTGGGAGTGCTGTGGTCATCAGAAGCAAAAGGGAACATTGTTGCCTGCAAGAAGGAGGCAGAATCGCGCCTTGAAAACGATGAGGCTGTTGAACTCGTCGTTGATGGCCCAAGTCTAAAGTTCATTCTTGGGAAAGAGCACGATGGCCTCATTTTGGAACGTGAGCTTGCTGAACTGGCATCCTTGAGCGGCGCTGTCATTGTGTGCCGCTCTTCTCCATCGCAAAAGGCGGCAATCGTGAGGGTCATGGATGAGTTTGAGCTGAGGAAGGCAGAAGGAACTGGGAATTTCGTGTCAAAGTGGTTTCGCAAGCAGGACAAGAAAATCAAGAGCAAGAGCCTCGCCATAGGCGATGGGGCCAATGATGTTGCCATGATTCAGGCTGCAGATGTTGGAGTGGGGATCGCTGGGAAGGAGGGCCGGCAGGCTGTGAACAACTCAGACTATGGAATCTCACAGTTTCGGTTCCTAGTGCGTCTGCTGCTGGTCCACGGACAGCTGTCCAACTACCGCCTCGCACGTCTCATCAAATACTCATTCTTCAAAAACATCGCCTTTGCCTTTGTCCTGATATATTTCCAAATATTTTGCGGATTCTCAGGTGAGTGCTGTTGCCACAGCACCCTTGCCCTGCTGTTTGGATTGCTGAGAACTGTTATCATGCATCCTCCTCAAGTTCCCGGTCAAGCTAACAGGGCACCTCTGTGGCAGCACTTCTACAAGGTAGTCACCTTTTTGTTGCTAAATAATTGGTGCATATCCAAGTACATGCAACAAGTCGTTGGGAAAGCGTCAAAGTCACTTGTCTGCTGCTGTGCTTTCCATGCATTGCTATTCAAAGGGGCACAAACAGGATGCCCGGCCTGTTGCAGCGACATCATGTTGTGCATGTGTTGACAGGTGTATCCTTAACCTGTGATACTGATGCATGCAGGACAAACACTCGTCGATGACATCTCAGCCACCATGTACAATGTCATACTCACCTCCATGCCCATCCTCCTGTTTTCGCTCATCGACCGCCCTGTCAGCGATGCCTCTCTCGTTCGATTCCCACAACTGTACAACACCGCACACTCACTCAGCACCCGCGTCTTCTGGAGGACTGGAATTCTGGACGGCATGATAGTCGCTGCCATGTGCTTCTTCATCCCCTTCTATGCAGCCGTGCCAGCAGGGAGGGATTCCACCCATGGGCTGTGGGCTGTTGGCAAGACTGCATTCGTGGCCCTTCTTGGCGCCGTCACGTTGGAGATCTCTCTTGTGACGCGATACTGGACCAAGGTGTACGTAGTATTTGTGGTCATCAGCTACGGCCTGATCTATCCATTCTTCATCATCTTCCCCATCGGCCAGAGGTGGTTCGATGTGTTTGATCCAGCACAATATGGGGTGGCAGAAAACTTGTTTATGACGGCCATTTTCTGGCTCACGATCATTGCTGTCAATGCTGCGGCATTTGGATTCCGGTATGTGACCCGGACGTACAAATGGCTGTACAGACCTGACGACAACATGATCGTTGCTGAATTCGAGAGCAAGAATGGTGCTCTTCATGGCTTGGAGCAGGATGCAGCAGAGTGTGAACGGATGATGGCTCTTGGATTTGGGAATGTCGTGAAGGTTGAAAACACCGACGACTCGGTCGTTCTGGTGCAAGACGATCCAGAGGACGTGTCCAAGGTGCGTTGGCCGCTGACATGTACGAGAGGCAGGAATGACACACAAGGATCCACAGCGGGCCCCTGGCTGGAGTGCCTGCCCTGCTGCTCTAAGATCCACCATGGGACACACACGCACACAGTGAAGAAACGCTGGGATTGGGATTGCTCAGCTATGGCTGTTGGCCCGCTGGATTGAGATTGGTGACAATGTTTGCGAAGGTCGTGTGGCGAAGGTCAATTTACGAACACGCAATAGGCTTCAAAATTCGCGTTTGGCAAAGCTATTGCCCTGCTTGCCCTCCCAAGATCCTCCTGCGTTCCTCATTGGATCTGCGTGCATAATTTTGGTGTCTGCTGGTTGAGCAGCGCATGGCGTCTCCATTTGTCCATGTCTTCACGTCTCCACATGTCCATGTGTCCACATCTCCATGTGTTTGCCGGTCATGTGCTGAGCTTGGCCTCTCTCTGATTCTGTTGCAGGGAATGAACAAGGGTCTGCAAGAAGGGGCGTAATGGGTGTTGTTTCAAGGTTGGCCGAATTCCGTTGATGAATGTGGTTTTCCAAGAGGCACGGTTATCAGTTTGCAGCACACAGCACCAGCTGCTACGTTTGACTGGACAAATGGCACAGCTGCTGTTCCCTGCCTGGGGACGTGTCGCTGCTTCCTGTACGTCCATTTTTGTATGCTCTGTTCCACATTGAGGTGAAACAGTGGATTTGGAATCAGTGCGGTGCAGCACAGCGCTGTGTGGCAGCAGCCGAATGGGCATGGTGAATGGCTTGCAGAGCTGCCCTTGTCCCTGTAGTGTGTGCAAGCAAAGTTGTGCTTGATTTGGTTTCTTGTGTTTGTGTGGTGGGCGAACAGCACCCTTGGGTGAGGGGCTGAACAATGCAAGGAAGGAGTTGGCGATCAGAGTGCTGGTGGGGGATGTGTCGAGGAGGAGGTAGTGCCGTTGCGCATGTGTATGTGAGCGGATTGAGAGGATGTTGGGTGTGGGTCTTCTCTTCATGGTATCTGTACCTGGGCATGTAGTGCATTTGTGATCATTGAGCGTCTGCAGAGCACTGGTTGTCTTGTCGCAAGGGAGTAGCGTGCACTGTGCATCCTATTGCTGGATGGATAGGATCATGTTTTGCTCCTGTGGCACCTAGCGTCTCCGGCCATGGCATGCACACACGACAGATCAGCATTGGCTGAGGACCAGGGAGAATGTGGACGCAGACTGTCCACAAAAATGCCGCCAAAGCCAGTAAATCGTACATTGCGATGACACGATGGACTGTTGTGCCGTGCTCGAAAACGCACTATGGCTTACCTGGGGGAATTGCATATCTACAGTTTTGCAATTCGCATGGCAGAGGGGTGGTCAATTCCTGACGCCTAAACTGCACATGTTCCAAAATTTCATCCACTGATCATTCCAGGGTGTGGGTGCGAAATGGACTGATTGAGCTGTACCATTGATAAGAATCCAATCCTACCACGATTTTGAAATGCATTGCATCCGTTTCTGCCTTACCGGTCTCCTGAGCCCACCCCGTCATGTACCCCATGACAATAATTACAAACAACCGTCAATCGTCACATTCCCGAGGTTCCCGTCCATTAAACTTGCCCATTCGCTTCGCTAGTACTTCAATGCCACTTCAGTGAGTGACTCCCATGAGTTAGCTCCCTTTCCCGTACTTCACTCCCTCAACTCCCTCACCATCCCACAACTAACCCGAACTCCACTATCCAGGGCGGGAGGGCTGGGTGCAAAACAAGATAAGGAGGGGGACCGAGGGGCTGCCTAAATAGCCGCCCTCCGCCGCCCCGCCAAAGCCCGCCAAACTCGAGGGCGCCCTCGCGGGCGGCACCTCGGAATACCGTACTTTGACTGACCCACGGTACTAGGGGGTGGCCAGAAATCCCAAGGGACGGGGTTGAGTAAACCCCAGGTTCAAACTGCACCGTTTGAATTGCCGGTGCAGCCCACCCAACGTCTCCCTTGGCAGAAACCCATTAACAGGATAGTTAACTTCATTTCTGCCTTACCGGTCTCCTAAGCCCACCCCGTCATGTACCCCATGACAATAATTACAAACAACCGTCAATCGTCACATTCCCGAGGTTCCCGTCCATTAAACTTGCCCAGTCACTCTAGGGAACGCGAGGCCCCTCCGGGGCAGAAGATGTGCCCAAACTGCTCATGCAGGTCGCGGGCGGTGATGGTCATCCAAGCAAAGAGCCGAAAATCCCACTCAGTGGGTAAACGGAAAATATCAATGTAGGACCACAGAGCGTCTGACTTCCACCCACCCCAATCCCGGATGCGCCGCTCCGCGACCTCCAAAGCGAAGCAGCTGGACGCGCCCCCACCGCGCAGACCATGATGCGTGAAGGGCTCGTGGGCCAGGTCCGGAAAGTGCGCGAGCAGGGACGTAAACCAGGAGGCCACCATCTTGGACGAAGGGGTGGCGTCGCCGGGCAGGCGGTAGAAATGGCGTGGCTGCTGGTCCGTTTGCGCCCAAGCTTGATCCCGAAAATGAGTCCAGCGGCGCAAAAGGGCGACGACTTCGGGAGCGCCGCGAGAAGGCCACGAACGATAGCGCGACCGGGGCTCCTCCCCCGGGCGCAGCTTGGTCTTGCGCTCGCGAAAAACCACGACCTCCTCATCGATGCGAACGTCGTCGACCAAGATGTAATGGCCCGACTGGGCCCGGTTAAAGAAAATGTAGTCGAGGTGGGCCGCACACGCCGCCCGAAGGGTGGGCCCGTCCTCGGTGGTCAGGCCGACGTCCAGGATGCGTAGAAGCAGGGACACAGGGATCGGTCGGCGATGCTGCACCGGGCTCGGGGCCGCTCGGCGCCAAGCGCGGGTGAGGATACGGGTGACCGGGTCGAAGGCCGAGAAACCCAAATGGCCCGCGACATGATGCATCATAGAAATCGCGGCCAGGTACTGGGGCAACGACCGCACGCCCACCTTGCCCTCCTCCCGAAGAAAACGAATGTATCGGTAGATCGACGCCCGCCGGGCGGGCAGCGCGACCAGGTCGTTGGCCTCGCAGAATCGCTGGAAGCGCAAGAACTTGGCCTGGAGCGTCCGACGAGTGGCGTCCGTGTAGGATGCCAGAAACTGATGCTCCATCCAGTAGCGATCGTCACGGAGTAAACCGTCCAGGTCGGTGCCGTACAGGGGGTCATCCTCCGCCAGCGGCTCCAGCGGCAAGGCATCCCCCGGATGGTCCCCCGGCGGAGAGGGCGGAACGTCCGGCGGGATCACGCCTTCCTCCGATTCGGTCTCAGATGGCGCGTCGTCCGCGGGCACACATGGAACGCCCGTAGGTTCCACCGCGGAGGGGGCAGAGACGCCGGGAGAGTCGGGTCGCCGGGGAGAAAAAGGTCGGCCTGGCGGGGGATGAACATTTCCGCCCGGGCGATCGCTCAGAGCGGGCGAAACCACACCGCGCTCGGCCAGTCCGGCGCCAGCACCACCGCCTCCAGCGTCGGCCGCAAGGCGAGGAGAAGGACCGCGAGCGGGAGGAGGCCTCGGTGGAACATCAATGTCGCACTAATCTAAGCTGGGCGAAATTTGCGGGCGACCTCCCGGAATATGCGCGGATTCAGGCGGTAGTCCTCCGAGGTCCGTATACGGGAAAGCCGGTCCGGCAGTACATTCTCGGCGGAGGGAATGTACTCCGGCTCCAGGAGAATCCGGCGTGCTGTACAGACGGCCTTCAACTGGCGGAGGGGCCTCAGGAGACTGGTGGCCCGGGTAGTCATGGAAAGGATACAGTGCAAGACCACCTGGTTGTCCACCAACAAACGGACCCGCCGGGAAGTCGTCCCGGAGTACTGGCGAGGAAAGAAACTGAGCAGTGCCAAGTACACGGCCTGCATTTCACGAACATTAATGTGAATAAGGTCCCGATCAAAAAAGCCCCTCGCAAGCATGGGGGCCGGGTGACCCAAAGGCTGAAAGGTCGCTCCCCAACCCGTCAGGTTGGCATCCGTCGCCAGGGTGCCAAGCAAAGGTAACGAAGCCGGTTGGAGAGCCCGGCCGGCAAGCCTGGAAAGGTTGGTCCAGGCCAAAAGGTCCAGGCGGGCTTGGGGGGTCAAAGGAAGCCGATCCCGCCAAGAACGCTTCCCTCTCAATAACGCATAGAGACTCATTAAGAAAAAACGGGCCAATGGAAAAGCCAAATAAAGGGAGATGGCAGAGCCACAGAATTGTGCCAACTTCCGCGCCACGACCACACCCGAATGGAGAATGGCACGAGCACGGGATGCAATGGCAGCTGCCTTGTCCGGAGGCACCAGAAATTGGCATCGGGCGGTGTCAATAATCACACCCAAATGAGTCTTCCGCTGCACCGGCTCCCACTGGCATTTTGAGTGTTTGAATTCAATCCCAAGAGCATGGAAAACCCGTTGGACCAGACTGGACCATTCCCGCAAATGGACCGGATCAGACATGGCGGCAATGAAATCGTCCAAATATGCTAAAATTAACGCGGGAACCTCCCGCGAGTACTTTAGGTAGTACTGTACAATGGAATCATTGCCCGCTAAATAGCCAAATCGAAAACGAGTTCCAGCCCCTGGACATGCATTAGGGGTCCTTAAGAAACGGACCACAATGAGCATGACATGAGTGAAATAAAAGGGGGCCAAAGAAAGCCCAAAGGGCAGCGCCCGACAAGCGAAAATCTCGCCACCCATTCGAAAGAGCAAGAAATGCTCTTGATCGGCTCGCATCCGAATGTGATGGTAAGCATTCTTCACGTCGAATCCCACTAGAAAGTCATTCTGCTGCAAAAGAAACCCGAAATCCTTCAAGCGCTCGTAGCGGAGACCGACCTTCTTGAGATGGCGGTTGATCCGCCGAAGATCGATGACCAAACGGTACTTGGTCTTCCCGTTCTCCGCCGGCTTGGCCACCAAAAAGGCGCGCGAAATTCGGGCGCTGGAAGAGACCTCCGTCCGGTGGATCGCTCCCGTCCGCAGGAACTCGTCGCGCAGCTCCCGCCATGCTTGCCATTCCGCCGGGTCCCGGAGTGGGTACTCGCCTTGGTCGAACGGAGGCGGAGGGCCCCCCCAGCCCCACTGGAGCGGTGCCCCCGTATGAATCCATTGAAGCACTCGGGCGGGGGCGCCGATGCGGTGCCAGGCCGCGAGACGGCCTTGGAGGCGCGCATAGGGGGGGGCTTCTAGGCGGTCGGCTTGGGAGGCGCTGGCGGGGCGCCGGACGTCTTGGGTTTGGCGCGCTGATGCTTGGCGCCGGTGGAAGGACCGCCGGGGGGCGGGGCTGCGGAAGCTTGGCGGTTGAGTTGCGCCTGATGCTGAGCTGCCGCGGACTTCGTCGCCAATTTGAGTTGTTGATTGAGGACCTTCTTGCGGATGTGCTCGAGGGGCTCGTCGATCAATGGGTCCCAGAACCGGCGATGCACGGCGCCCAATCGTACGTTGGTCTGAAGCGCCTTCCACAGACCGTCGAGGGAGGTGCCCTTCTGCTCGCCGTGGACT